GCCTGCGCCCTGCCTGCTCCCCTGCCTGCGCCCCTGCCTGCTCCCCTGCCTGTGCCCCTGCCTGCACCCCTGCCTGCGCCCTGCCTGCTCCCCTGCCTGCACCCTGCCTGTGCCCCTGCCTTCGCCCTGCCTGCTCCCCTGCCTGCACAGCTGCTGCCACCCCGGGGCAGCTGCTCTGCCTTTTTCTCCTTTCAGCGTTTCTCCTCCCTCCACCCCAGCAGCGGTTTCCGAGGTCCCAGCGCACCCCAAACCCAAACCCCAACCCGCTTCCTCCGGGGTGGGGGGCGCAGGCAGGCTGCCCACGCCCGCCCGCAGCCCCGGCCCGGCTCCCGGAGACGGGAATTGCGGGCAGATGTTTGGGGGAAACACATGGTCGCTCATTCGAGGAGCTCCAGGAAGGGCAGGGGGCGAAGCAGCATCCCACCGCCCCCCCCGGACCGCGCTGGTCCCCTCTGAGCCCTGCTGCAGCCCTGGGTTTATTTCCCCCAGGAGCAGACGCTGGTCCCAGTCCCGTGGGAGCTTTTAGCTCTGGCCCAGCTCAAGTCCCACCCTGAGGGCCAGATCCTGAGCGCAGCGAGCTCCCGTTGCTGCCGGTGGGAGCTTGTCCTGGGGAAGATGCCAGGATGGCACCCGAGGCCACCCCATCCATCCCTCCCGCACCCACATTTTTCCAGCCTGGGGCCACGCGGGGCGGGGGGATGTCCCCGCTGGGATCCAGCCTCCAGCCCCGCGGCGGCAGCTCCCACGCTGGGGACTGCCAGAGCTCAGGGTGGGGGCAGCGAGAAAACAAAAGGCATGGGGAAGCAGCTCTGGGTACCCAGCTTCGATTCACCCTTATTTCAGCCAGCAATTGCCATGACAACAGCTGCCACAGGGAGAGATGATGCGCAGCATCCCGGTCCCAAGGATGCCCAGGGATGGAGCCCCAACCCTCAGACCCCCAAAGCAAAGGGAAGGGACGAAGCCAGCACCCGCAGGAGAAACTGAGGCACCGAGCTCTGCCCCAAGGCTGGCTGCAGGACGGGGGGAAGCCTGAGCCCTACCTGCACCCATGGCACCCGGACACATCCCCGCTTCACCGCCACGGATCTGCCCTCGCCTCCTCGCTCCGCCGGGACCCCCACGCCTGGCAGCCTTCAGCACCCCAGGCTGCTCCCCGCAACACCAGCTAAAGCTTCGTCCCCCACCCGTGTGAACAGGAAAAAAAAAAAAAAAAAAAAAAAAAGGAATAGCTGGAAAAGGCAGCCTTAAAAAAAGCCGGCTGTGCCCAGGGTGGGACAGAATAACAGCATGAGTCAGTGTTTGTCTGGGCAGAGCCGGCCAGGCTGCGCGGGACAGGACGGGTCAGGATGGGAGGGGTCTCCATGAGCTGCCCCCCGCCACGGTGTGGGGTCCCCCCGATGCAGAGCATACCCCAGTCCGGCCAGAATTTAACCTCAACACGCAGGTCACACAAGGCTCCTCCGAGGGTGTCACTCCTGCAGGAGCCGGGCAAAGGAACCTGGCACGAAGCCCCCAGGTTGTGAAGAGACGCCCCGATAGTAAGAGCCTGGCCCTTTGCTCTCTGCCCTTTCTGTTCTTGTGAGGGCTGAGTATTAAAGGAGAAAAATCCTGGGCGTTTGTACTTACACAGGCAAAGATTTTCTTTAAAAGGGGCAGTTTGTGTTTCTGTGCTGCTTAAAATGACTCGAGCTGCTTCCAAGATAATAAAAGTTCTTTTCATCTCCTCTTCTCTCTCTCTTTTTTTTTTTTTTTTTTTTTTTTTTTTTTTTTTTTTTTTTTTTTTTTTTTTTGTATATATATAGGTTGATATTAATCCTAGGCTCTCCTGGCATTTGCAGGCAATAAGAAGGCCAATAAAACTCCCTTTTCCTGAGCATCCTCCCCACCGCGTCGCAGCAGCCCAGGCAGGTGAGACAGGGCGTGGAACACTTCGATCCCAGGGGATTTGCATCCTCCCCTTTAGGGCTCCAGGACCTGCCTCAGCCCAGCGAGGGTGTCCCTAACCATGGCCCGGGCTTTATCATGGTTTCTGGGGGACAAAGCCAGCACAGGCCTTGGGGACACGGCGCAGAGGCGAAAGGCAGCAGCTCGCATGCCACCTGCGGAGCCGCTCTCAACCGCTTGGGATTTCAAGGGTAGAAAGAGGAAGGAAACCAAGAAAAAGGAAATAAATCTGTCCCTCCTGCTGCCGGAGGGACGGACGTGACCGTGCCAGGGATGGGGGACAGTCAGGGCTGGCAGAGCTCAGCTCCCACACCCCCCCCACCAAGTGAGAAAGTCACCCCGGATCCGCAGAAGCATCCTCCAGCCCCCGGCTCGCAGCTGCGTGCGGAGCTCCCAGCTGCATGCTGATCAGCACGGCAAAGAAAAGCCCCCTGTTCTCCCTGTCCCCACCGAGGGGACACTGCCACACTATAAGGACATCACCACCACCACCACCCCACCCCCAAATTCACACCCAATCCTCTCCCTCCGTGCAGCTTTCCCACGTGCAAAGCCACCATGGGGGCTCCCATCACCGCAGGCTGCAAAACCCATCTCCAAAAGAGCCGGGGGGTTTAATGGAAAATTAGGAAAAAAATAGGGATTTTGGGCAGAGAAGGATGGGTGGTGATGACCTCCAGGGTTTCAGTGAGTCGGGACCCTGGGGATCACCTCCACCCGCTGTCCTCCACCCAAAAACTCCAAACCCACTTTATAATAACAGAGGAGCAAAAAACCCTCAACTGGTTGCAAATGAGCAAAGCAATGATTTAGAGCTGGCTGTAGCAAAACCCTCCCTCCCAAATATAGATAAAAATATATAAATCCATACATATAAATATATATATATAAACCCGGAGGTATTTACCTGAGCTTGATAAATCCCCCAGTGCTTCGAGCACACAGGGGCTGGATTGCACATCTCCCCTTCTCCTATAACCCCGTTAGGGCTGGCATCAAACCACCCGGGCGTTACGTCGCTTCAGCGCCCGAGCGGAGGGCGCCGTGGATATTGCTGAGCTTTCTCATCCCGAGAAGGACACGCACGTCTTGCCGATGGGAGGCCACAAGAAAAAAAAAAACAACAAACAACCACAGCCGGTGGCATAAACCAGCTGCCGGGCTCGGCGCGGAGTTGGGCAGCGCTCAGGAAGGGGGAAGCGATGCTGCGTGGTAGCACATGAGAACTTGGGACCTCGGCTTTCTTGCACGGTTCAGCTGGACACGGAGAGGGGACGGGGCAGGCGCTGCTGTGTCCCAGCCGCCACGGCCCCTGTGCTGCCCGTGGCTGGCTCAGGAGTCCTGCGGGATCCCTTGGGCAGGGTTTGGGCACCCCTCATCGGTGTAAAAAACCCCCGCGGTCTTGTGGCTCTTGGTGTGGGTGAGCGCAGCCAAAGGGCCCCCTGCGATCCGGGCTGGGGCATCTCCACCCCGGGCTGCCCCACATCCCTGCCCCAGCTCCTGGGCCGCTCCCGGCCTCGCACACGTAGGACAGGGGTAACCCTGGGGCACATGGCAGAAGGGGAGCGCGTCGTCCCCCCCAGTCCTGCTTCGTTGTGCCGCCCCCTCCGACACGCTCGCCAGGTCCTGCCTGTTCCCAGCTGTTTGTCCAGCTGGGCCTGGCCTCGGCCCCGTGCCGGCGGTGATCCGGCATGGGCTGAGCCGGGATGGCCACAAACCTCCACCCCGAGCCAGGGAAGCCCATCCAGAGGGAGACAGACACTAAAAATACAGACACACGTGGCTGGACCAAAATCCGGAACCGCAACCTGCATCTGGAGCATCACGGTCAGTCAGAGCCAGCAGCAATCCTGGGGCAGAGCCCCCACCCGCTCCACATCATCAATATTGATTTTTTTTCCAGCTCGCAGCTTCAGCCACGCACAAGGGATTAATCCCAATTTCCTCAGAGTGGTGGCGGCACCGGAATTTGGAAAACTGCCGCCCAAGCGTGACCCAGGGGACAGCGGGCGATGCCCGGCGAGGAGCGATGCCTCTGGGGAGCTTGTGGTCACGCCATGCCCTGTACAAGTGGGGACATTAACCCCTGTCACACGTAGCCGATCTCCCACAGGAGCTAAAAAGAGGAACTGGAGCCCAGGCTGACGTCCGCCTTTGCACAACGTCGTGTTACAACATCCCCCTGCAGCTGAATCAGGAGGAAACTTGCTGATGTGCCCAGATCAGCGGGTCCGGATCGGAGAAAGGAGAAGAGACACAAAAAGCCCAGACCTCCGCGCCAGGGATGCGCCAGCTCGGGGGGCTCATGACTGTCACGCTGGCACCCCTCTCCCGGGGCCTCGTGGGACCCCTGGGATGGGGCAGCAGCTCCACGGGGTGCTGGGTGCCAGCAGTGATGCAGAGTCCGGCCAAGCTCGTGGCATTCGGGGGATGCGACAGGTCCCCAGAAGGATGAAAACCTGTTGCACCCCGGTGCACCCAGGCGACGCAGTCCCCCCACTTCGGTGGTAAACACAGTTCACTGCCAAAAGCAATAAAAAACCCCACGAGAAACATGGTCCAGGCTGGGGCAGGTTGCAGAGCCAACCAGCAGAGCCAACCCTGTCCTCTCCCACAGCAACACACCCCAGTCCCCCCAGTATCCCCCTCTCAAGCCTTCCAGCCACCTTTCCCAATACCTCGTGCGGTGCCACGCTCTCCTGCTGCTCCGTGCCGGGGAGGACGAGGTCGAGGTGCCAAGGCCAGTGGGTGCCCAACGAGGAAGAGGAGTCGCTCAGCCCAACCCCGCCGCCGAAGGCTCCCCGGGAGCGAGCGGGCTCTCATCCCCGAGTGGACCCCGGTGCGGCGGGGCCAGGCGCAGGCACGGTGCTGCCGGTTTTAATGGCGAGGGGAGGGGGAAGGAGAGGCGGCAGCATCCATCACCGGCGTTTTCTTGGCAGCACGATGCTCGGCGAGCAACAGCTGGGAGAGGGTGTGACGCCGGGAGCTGGGAACGCTGGCCTGGATCCCGCCGCGACCCAGCACGAGGAAGCAACACGCCGCTTCCCAAGGGGCCTCTTTTCCTGTCCCGTCCCCCCCGGCCAGGCCGCCCTAACGCGGGCTAACGAAGCACAGAGGGTCCCGGAGTGATGCTGGCCCCGGCTGGGGACCCTGAGGGGAGGCAGGTGGCTACCAGGCACCCCGCTGTGCTGTCCCCACCCTGGGTCACCCGCTGTCCTCCACCACCGTCGTGTCCCCCCTCCCTGCCGCCCCCAACTCCTTCCAAGACGTTGAGTCACTTCCCTTCGTCAAATCTGGCTCCCAAACGCTGCGGCTGCTGCTCGGGGGCTGGTTCCCCCCATGGCTTTCATTACCCCCAGGATGCATCAGCTGCTTCCAGGCAGCACCCCCAGCCCCGCTCACCAGCCCACGGCAGGGGGGGCTCTGCGGTGGCAGCTCCATCCTCCCCCCCCCAGACCCATTAACAC